GTTTTTTGTTATATATATATATATATATATATATATGATCGATCCGTGGCCTCATAAAAGTGTAAAAGGTCTAGATCACATTGTTATTTGTTTTTGTCCTTTCTCTCACAAGCTGAGGTCACATTTGTTGTTATCTGCGCATTATGAAGATTTTTGAAAAGGTTACTTAACCACTTAATTGGTAACCATAACGATATTATTGAGTTAAGGAACAACAGGCAAATTTAATGTGATTAGGGTGATGCAATACATTTATATTGTACTCTTTCTGCCATTAGCCCCACCCCTCCTCAGTAGCCCCCCAGAATTGCCACCTCAATTAAAAAAAATTTTTTTAAATCAACAATACAAAGGGATCAAAATTAAAAAGAAAACTAAAACAACTCAAACTTGTCCATGCCACTGCAGCAGCACATTGATTTGTTGTACAGCTTTAAGAATTAAGCACTCAATATGTTTTTCTTAACATAAAATAACTTTCATAAGTTGAGTGTTTTTATAGTCTACTGATCTGACAGATTATCATTAGATCGTCATTACTGTTGGCTTCAGCGTGTCCTTCATCTGACTTGTTATAATCTCAAGATTAATGCAATTTTCCTGAGGGTCACTACTGCTATGTTCAGCCTAAGAAGATTGTTGTACATAGTGTCCAAAGGGCTAAAGGGGTCGTGTGGGTTTCAGGGAAGGCCTTGATGAGGGGGTGAAGGGGTGAGCGAACTGGAGGGGCTGTTGCCATGGATGCTTGCAGGAGCCAGTTCACGGAGCTGCTTCTTTGTCATAAAAAAAAGCAGAGGAGGGATTTGAATCTGAAAGGACACAGACATTAGAAAAGGGGTAGAGACAAAAAAGGGGGAGAAAAGTCCTGGGATTTAAGTACGTGAGGGGGTTACAGAGGAAGTAGAGAGGGGTAAAAAGAAAAGAGGAAGGATAAGAAGGGCGGTGGAGATGATGTGATTTGAGCACGTGTATGTGAGTGTCTGTGTTGGACTCCATGCATGCTTAGTGTGCGCCTTTGAGATGGCAGTCATTACATTTAGTCTTCGATCTCATTTTGCAGAATGAGGCAGGGAGGAGATGGGAAGATAGGCCTGGAGGCAAATGTGCCTCTCTGAAGAAGTCAATTCCTAAGATCAGAGAAAGGAAAAAACGTTGCTCTTGCCTTTTACCAACATTTCTGTGGGGCTCATGCCAACTTGATAGACGGACAGATGGGCAAGCAGACATTAAAGGGACTTTGGTGAGGATTGCTTGCTGCATTTAGCCACACACACACATATGCACATATATTCTGATTGTGAGACTTAATTATTGCCAGCAAAAGATGGTGCGACTGAGGATGAGAAGAGGGAGCGGGGATAAGAGGGGCTGAATCTGTTCCACCTGATGGACACTTGTAATGGCTGTGCATGAGAGGGAGAGAGATGGAGTTTGAAATGTGCTCCAGGAGAAGAGAGGAAAGTGATAGGACTGTGAGAGGGTGGGAAGAGGAGAAAGCTGCTTTAGAAAGAAATTGAGAAAAACGTGTGTGTGTGTGTGTCTATGTGTGAGAGAGAGAGAGGCTCCCGCCTCCTCCTGTTGTGCAGAAGGGGGATGAAACTTTGCAGAGATGAGAAAATCTGCAGTGAAGTGTTTCAGCTCTTACACACAAGAGGCTACAAGAGTCCATGTACACATGCTTGAGAGTAAGTGTTTCACCGGAGCTGTGCATTTAGATAACATGTTTAAGATTCAGTTCTGTATCTTTATTTTCTTAGTTTGTCTACAAGTTAGTTTCTGCATTGTGTGTGTGTGTTTACATGGGGTTAGATGACACAGGTTCCCATGAAAAATCAGGTATGCTGGAGGTGTCAACAGGTTTGGGAAGGGTCGAGGTTAGGTCAGCAGGGTCGTGGTGGGTGTGGATGTGTGTAATCAGAGGAAGAAGAGGGCAAAGCGGAAGGAGAGGTGAAAGAGCAGCAGGAGGAGGAGGAGCTGATGGAGGGGCACAGATGGACACAGCAGAGAAAAGAAAATGATGAAGACAAATTCAATCACTCACACACCAAATGGATAAATTCCTGCCCTTCCCTTTTCCTGTTTTTCCTTCCAAACTTGCGTACCCTTCTTCCATCGCTCCTTCATTTCCAGAACTATCCCTGTGATATAAAAAAAACCCCTCCAAGCAGTAATAACATCACACTGAATGCCTCCAGTGTGGAAAACCACATTGTAAAAGGTAGCGGAGACAGCTCCCATCAATCAGCACAGGAGCTCCACCTCTTATCAGACCACACACTCGGCCCTGGGTGCCAAAGGGGGGTTTAATCACTTCCGGTTTGAAGGCGTTAAGAGGGAAAAACAAGACAATGCAGGAACCGTACCTGTGTGCGTACGTGCCTAGGGGCAAGAGGTTTGCGCACATGCCTCAACTCCAGGCTTGTGGCGGAATGACTTTCCCTTCCTGTTGTACGTGTGTGTGCAGGTTTACGTTACATTTGACACAAACATAGGAAGCGCAGAGGTGTATAATGAGGGTGGGGTGTCGGTGAAAAGGTGCATTGAGGTACAGGAAAGGCAGGGAGTGCCGCTGCCTCTGTAATTACACATATCGGACTTCAGCTAAACGCTCTGCATATACCACCATCGCTGGCTTTTTTTGTACGCTTTTCCATTGTTGCGACTTTCCTCCCTCGAATCTTTTTAATCCCTCTCATTTTTCACCTTGTTCCCACTGAAGACGTAAACTTGTGAACATCTGCATTATAGAGAACAACACTGACTAAGATCAGTCTGCAATCGAGCTGAGTGAACACATACACGTGTGCATGAATGTGTGTGTGAAGTTTGCAACGTGCCCGGGGTGACTGGAATTGACTTGAGCATATACGGCAGAACCCAGCTTAGGTTTTTTCCTAGTTTGCTCAGCGTTTCCTCACTGTCTCAGTGTGTGTGGATATGTAATCCATGATGATCCTGATGTAGAAGTGCAGTCTCAGCTATGGAAATTCAGAATTCTCTCTATTTTTTTTTTTTTTTTTTAAACATGTCGGACGTTCATCTTGCTCCGTCAGTGCAGATGTACGAGTCTGAGAACACAGTGTGTGCACACGCACTCGCAGGCAGGCTTGATTTTTCTCCCAGAAATGAAGAGTTCTATGCACTTTGGAGTAGAGCGCTGAGTTTCTTGCTCTCTGCCTTGGCCGGCAGGAGCTGAGGCTGTAGATCTGGCAGAGCTGTAGATCCTCCATGGCCATGTTGTGAAAGAGAACGACGACAAGAGAGATGGAAAACAGAAGAGTCAGGCTGCCGCCAGCTCAAGGTTTTTCGTAGCTTAGGTGCACAGTCAGTACCAGAGAAATGCCAAGACAGGAAAAAAAAAACAAAAAAACCCGTCCGATCCCATCCCCGCCTCCCCCCTCCCACTTCCCCTGCCTGTCAACTACTTCCGTCTTAGACCTTTCTGGCTGCTTTCCTTTCTGATGGGCAGACATTCTGGAGTTGTATTACCTTCCCTTTTTTCTTTTTCTTTTCTTTTTTTTTTTTTAAACGCTGCAGAAATGTTTCTGCACTGCTCCTACTCACCTACACACACTGCTTGGTATCTGCACTGAAACAGATGGATGGCTGGGGAGGGGTGTTTCACCACAAAGATGTCCATTTCACAACTGTTCGCAAAGCTTGGATTGTTTTCTTTGGTTTTGTTTTTATTCCTTTCTCCTTTACACACACAGCTATGGCCATAACTGCATGCACTGAATCTATAACAGCCAATCGTCTGCACACTTCAACGGATCTAGGTTTCCAAGGGTCTCATTTTAAATGACTGGGAGTTTGTAAAGATGTGTTGGTGTGGCGGTTTGAAACGTGGGCCTCCTCTTTTCTGTATTGCTCCTCCTGCATAAGTTGATTTAAATGCATCCGTTGGGTTTTTTTGGTGTTTTTTATTTCTTTCTTAAATTGCTTGTTTCTTCCTCTCCCACCTCTCTTTCCTCCTCCTCCTTGTGCACCCTCTTCCTTCCTCATCCTTTACCCCCACCCACCTTCCCCGATCCCCTTCGACCTTACCCCACTCCTCCCCACATCTGCTCTGCAGAGGCGTCGAACAAATACCAAATTTCTAAGCCCACGGTGTGCTCAGTGCACCCGGGGGAAGTGCTGAAGCTCAGCTGCCCTCTGCCAGGGACGGGGACCATCACCTGGACCAAAGATGGCAGCTCTCTGGGCAGCAACAACCGCACGCTGATAGAGCAGGAGGTGCTGCAGATCCGTGACACCACGCCCAAGGATTCGGGCCTGTACGCCTGCACCAGCGTGGGCAAAGACACAGTCTGCTTCATAGTCAATGTCACAGGTGAGTCAGGGATCAGGCAAGGTTAGGACAGGTCAGGATGTGAACTTTAGAGAGAGGATTGGTCTGTGCTTGGTGTGGATCCAGGAAATGGCCATGGAGTAGATGTGGTCAAGGATGAGCAGCCTGAAGCTCAATATATAGTGTGTGCGCTTGTATAACAACAGTAACTTACAATCATATTTAATATATAAAAAAAAAAAATGCCCTCATGCTATTGATTCCTTTAAAACTGTGTTGCAGTGTTGTAACATGGAAATTGCTACGTGTGTGTCTGTGTGTGGGGTGCAAAAAAGGATGGCAGTAACCGTGGTTACTCTGTGCAGATGCCATCTCGTCGGGGGATGATGAGGACGATACAGAGCGATCGGAGGACACTGGGGCGGATGGAGAGCAGTTAAGTGAGTATGGGAGGAAACCAAAGGGGGTATGAATGAGTTCGAGATGCTCTCCCTTTCCTCACCAGGTCGCGTAGATTAGGCACCCCTGAGCAAGATGCCTTAAAGAGACAGTAGTAACCCGTTTCTTCACCGATCTGACATCTTCCAACTTCTCCGTTCAATAATTTTCTCTGTTTCCCGACATTTGTTCCATCGTTAACTCAAGCTTCATTCTCCTACCAGTTACAGCTATGTCTCCATGACACTTTAAATGCACATTTTGGATGCAGAGAAGGCTAAAGCAATTAACTAATAGCATATTTGCCCATATCGAATAACAAAAAGTTCAGTTTAAGGGCTTTAAAATTAGCACATACCATGGTTTGAGTGCTCTAGTCTGTTAAATACCGAAGAGTCCCTAAGAGCATGTCAGAACTTAAGTGTGGGATGCTGATTGTGATAGCCAAATACTTAGAAAGGCTTAATCCCCAAGCGAAATAATCTACTTGGCTTTGTCAGAGTTTGTTAGCAGAAGTGAGATTCTGTGATTATGATTAAAGCA